CCTCTAACAACAAATGCTTGTGGTCGATATCGTCGACAATGACTTGTACCTGTCCATTAAGACTTCCCACAACAAATGTTAGTGATAGATATCGTCGACAATGATTTTTACCTGTCCATTAAGACCTCCCTCAACAAATGTTTGTGATCGATATCGTCGACAATGACTTGCACCTGTCCATTAAGACTTCCCACAACAAATGTTTGTGGTCGATATCGTCGACAATGACTTGTACCTGTCCATTAAGAACTCTCAAAACAAATGTTTGTGATCGATATCATCGACAATGACATGTACCTGTCCATTTACACCTCCCATAACAAATGTTTGTGATCGATATCGACGACAATGACTTGTACCTGTCGATTAAGTCTTCCTTCAACAAATGTTTGTGATCGATATCGTCGACAATGATTTGACCTGTCCATTAAGATCACCCATAACAAATGTTTGTGATTGATATCGTCGACAATGACTTGTACCTGTCCATAAAGACCTCCCACAACAAATGTTTGTGATCGATATCGTCGACAATGACTTGTATTTGTCAATCAAGACCTCCCACAACAATTGTATGGGATCGATATCATCGATAATGACTTGTATCTGTCCATAAGACCTCACTAAACAAAAGTTTGGGATCGATATCGACGATAATGACTTGTACTTGTCCATTAAGACCTCCCACAACAAATGTTTGTGATCAATATCGTCGATAATGACTTGTACCTGTCTATTTAGACTTCCTAAACAAATGTTTGTGATCGATATCTCCGACAATGATTTGACCTGTCCATTAAGATCTCCCACAACAAATGTTTGTGATTGATATCGTCGACAATGACTTGTACCTGTCCATTAAGACTTCCCACAACAAATGTTAGTGATCGATATCGTCGACAATGATTTTTACCTGTCCATTAAGACCTCCCTCAACAAATGTTTGTGATCGATATCGTTGACAATGATTTGCACCTGTCCATTATGACTTCCCACAACAAATGTTTGTGGTCGATATCGTCGACAATGACTTGTACCTGTGTATTAAGACTTCCCAAAACAAATGATCGATAATGACTTGTATCTGTCCATAAGACCTCTAACAACAAATGTTTGTGGTCGATATCGTCGACAATGACTTGTACCTGTCCATTAAGACTTCCCACAACAAATGTTAGTGATAGATATCGTCGACAATGATTTTTACCTGTCCATTAAGACCTCCCTCAACAAATTTTTGTGATCGATATCGTCGACAATGACTTGCACCTGTCCATTAAGACATCCCACAACAAATGTTTGTGGTCGATATCGTCGACAATGACTTGTACCTGTCCATTAAGAACTCTCAAAACAAATGTTTGTGATCGATATCATCGACAATGACATGTACCTGTCCATTTACACCTCCCATAACAAATGTTTGTGATCGATATCGACGACAATGACTTGTACCTGTCGATTAAGTCTTCCTACAACAAATGTTTGTGATCGATATCGTCGACAATGATTTGACTTGTCCATTAAGATCACCAATAACAAATGTTTGTGATTGATATCGTCGACAATGACTTGTACCTGTCCATAAAGACCTCCCACAACAAATGTTTGTGATCGATATCGTCGACAATGACTTGTATTTGTCAATCAAGACCTCCCACAACAATTGTATGGGATCGATATCATCGATAATGACTTGTATCTGTCCATAAGACCTCACTAAACAAAAGTTTGGGATCGATATCGACGACAATGACTTGTACTTGTCCATTAAGACCTCCCACAACAAATGTTTGTGATCAATATCGTCGATAATGACTTGTACCTGTCTATTTAGACTTCCTAAAACAAATGTTTGTGATCGATATCTCCGACAATGATTTGTACCTGTCCATTAAGATCTCCCACAACAAATGTTTGTTATTGATATCGTCGACAATGACTTGTACCTGTCCATTAAGACTTCCCACAACAAATGTTAGTGATCGATATCGTCGACAATGATTTTTACCTGTCCATTAAGACCTCCCTCAACAAATGTTTGTGATCGATATCGTCGACAATGACTTGCACCTGTCCATTAAGTCTTCCCACAACAAATGTTTGTGGTCGATATCGTCGACAATGACTTGTACCTGTGTATTAAGACTTCCCAAAACAAATGATCGATAATGACTAGTATCTGTCCATAAGACCTCTAACAACAAATGTTTGTGGTCGATATCGTCGACAATGACTTGTACCTGTCCATTAAGACTTCCCACAACAAATGTTAGTGATAGATATCGTCGACAATGATTTTTACCTGTCCATTAAGACCTCCCTCAACAAATGTTTGTGATCGATATCGTCGACAATGACTTGCACCTGTCCATTAAGACTTCCCACAACAAATGAGTGTGATCGATATCATCGATCATGACTTGTATCTGTCCATAAGACCTCCAACAACAAATGTTTGTGGTCGATTTCGTCGACAATGACTTGTATTTGTCAATCAAGACCTCCCACAACAATTGTATGTGATCGATATCATCAATAATGACTTGTATCTGTCCATAAGACCACCCTAAACAAAAGTTTGGGATCGATATCGACGACAATGACTTGTAATTGTCCATTAAGACCTCCCACAACAAATGTATGTGATCAATATCGTCGATAATGACTTGTACCTATCTATTAAGACTTCCTAAAACAAATGTTAGTGATCGATATCTCCGACAATGATTTGTACCTGTCCATTAAGATCTCCCACAACAAATGTTTGTGATTGATATCGTCGACAATGACTTGTACCTGTCCATTAAGACGTCCCACAACAAATGTTAGTGATCGATATCGTCGACAATGATTTGTACCTGTCCATTGAGACCTCCCTCAACAAATGTTTGTGATCGATATCGTCGACAATGACTTGCACCTGTCCATTAAGACCTCCCACAACAAATGTTTGTGATCAACATCGTCGACAATGACTTGTACCTGTCTATTAAGACCTACCACAACAAATGTTTGTGATCGATATCGTTGACAATGACTTGTACCTGTCCATTAAGAGTGATAACTTGGAATTGTTATACTTTATCTACAAACACCAGAAAACTAGTAAACTGACAATTTTTAAATTTACTGAAATTGTTTCTTATAATTGGAATCAACATTCAACATTTAACGATGCATATTTATAAGTTAATAAAGATTGGTTCCATTTTGAAATTTAAATGTTTTGTTGCCATTTTCTCACGTAGTTCAAACTTTGACACTAATTTTGTGAAGAAATAATCTCATAGAAAAGTAAATTTGAATTTAGCTGTGAATATATTATATCAAGGAGACCTTAGTATATTATGTATAACATTTACTAAATTCCTCCATGGGTACAAAGGTTTAATTTGTATGTTTGGCAAATTTTTACGGAGATGTTTTTTTCCAAGCCCAGAATTGACATTGTAGATACGATCGTGGTAAACTAATCGATCCGTTAAATAAACTTATTCTAAAAGGTTACCAATTCAACTTTGTAATTTGATCTTTAAATATTATTTTTATTGGTATAAATATTGATTTTGTTATCAGTAAATTAAAACGAAGCTAATATTATTGTTATATACTACACTGGCAAAAATGCCACACATGTTTACATGCGTGACACATGCATTTCACATGCGTGTCACACGCATGTGAAAGAGACGTTTCATGCCACGCATGTGACACATGTGTGAAAAACACATGTGATACGCATGATACACACATGTGATCATGCGTTTCACATGTGAATCACATGCGTAAGGAAAAACACCTGTGATACATGCGTGATTACTACATGTAAAAGGCATGGTGCCTGTATTAAATATTTTTCAAAATGTCCTCCTGTTTGTCCAATTACCATGATTGTTGACATGTTTCTCAGTTCTCATGTGAATTACATGCAATTTCTAACACATTTTTCTAACACATGTGTTATACATGTGTTTTCTCTATATATACACAGGCAAAATGAAATTAAGGTGAATTGAGCATCAATCACACAAATTCACAGTATTTGAGCATATTTTAGATAAGTTAATGCTAATCTAGTACACATTCTATTTTGATATATAAATATTCTTCTTGGTCTTGACTATGTGTTCATACTTCCATTATATTTTACTTTCTTGATCCTAAACAATACAAAAAATATTTATCTATCAACTCCCAACTCACAATATCTCCAATGCAAGAGATAAGATGCAATAAAACAAAGAAGGCAAGCAAATATCCAGGTCACTTAGTTCACTCCTAGAATTTTTTCGGTTATGTTCAAGTCTCAATACTTTTTTTAAAAGTCATGTAAGGATTGGTGATTCATTTATAGAATATGTATGCACTAATGTATATTTCATTTTTAATATGTATGTACAAGTCATTTTGTGGTTATCAGCCATGAGACAATCCAATCCCATTATGGAAATAGTCTTACTTGCAAAAGATGCCAATTTTTCTTTTGAAAGTTTTGAAGAAAAAAAGTATTTCACCCTGCCACATATTCCTGTGCCTATTTCAAGCCAGGAACCTTTTCAGTGGTTGTCTAAGTCTCATCCTAATAAAAAAAAATATTTAAAGAATTTGGTGTTGATGGCAGCTCTTTGATTGGTATAGACTCTGGTTAATTAAGTAGATCATGACATTGTTTAGACACCTGTACATTGTTGAGGACTGTATGGTAGCACCTTAATGCCTTTCATGTGTTTTTGTTGTGTAGCTGTCTGATTTATGTATACCTCATATCTCATTGTATTAATAAACTAAAATAGAAAGTTCTGTGAAATATATTGTGATATACCATATTGAAAGTCTTGCTGTTATTTACAACCATTTCCTTCTTATTTCATATATCTATTTCAGTTTTTCATTTTAACACCAATCTTAAGGTTAAGGCAAAAAGAAAACAAATGTTGACAAACAACAGGCATATACCTTCAGAAGATCTCAAATTTGGCTGCACAATAAACTAAAAATTCTTGTTATTTCAAATATTTATATAAAAATCAGTTTAAAACATGCATTTTCCATTTTTAGACTGTAATTGTCATGTTGGCACAATAATTTGAATTTGAATTGTATTATATTCTGAGAGTACTTGTGGTTGAAAAAATATACACGATATTTAATTCCATGTGTTTTAGATTTCTTGAATACACCACTCCCATATAATGACTACATGTCTGTTAGTAATGTTAAGAGTTCTCTCCTGCATGTAATTGCTGTAATTGCTATTTGTACCCAAGGCTTTCTTCATACATTTGCACTTATCCTTCTAAGATGTTGCTTGAATGATAAAATCCTGTAATACATTATCAGCCATCAGACTCTTGGAATACAGTTGCTGTAATAAAAAAAATAAACTGTAATCACAGAGATATGTCTCGCTTTTTAGTAATTTCGATAATGCAAATATTGAAATTAAAATAGCAACACTTTAACATGTAAGATTTGCAAATATTCAAAGTCAATGAACCATGACTAAAGGTACATGGCTAAACAATCTCCATGGAAATTAGATGTGTCAATGCTAATACAACGCATACCAAATACCATTGACTTATCATAAGTAGTTCCCTTTAAAAAACCTAAACACAAACTAATACATGTAAACTAAGAAAATTTTAAAGTCAATAAACGATAACTGAGAAGGGGGGGGGGGGGGGAGGAATAATCTCCATGGTAATGAGATGTGCCAATGCTAATACAACTGCATACCAAATATCATTGACTTACCACTAGTGGTTTCCCATAAGCCGACCTAATCACAAACTAATACATGAAAACTAAGCAAAAGTTTCGAAGTCAATAGACCATGACTGAGGGGGCAGGGCCAAATAATCTTCATGGAAATGAGATATGCCAATGCGTATTTAACTGCATACCAATTATCATGAACTTACCACTAGTGGTTCCCCATAAACTGACCTAGTCACAAACTAATACATGAAAACTAAGCAAAAATTTAAAAGTCAATAGACCATGACTGAGAGGGTGGGGCCAAATAATCTCCATGGAAATGAGATATGCCAATGCTTATACAACTGCATACCTATCATAATTAACTTACCACTAGTGGTTCTCCATAAACTGACCTAATCACAAACAAATACATGAAGACTAAGCAAGAATTTCAAATTAAGTCAATAAACCATAACTGAGGGGGCGGGGCCAAATAATCTCCATGGTAATGAGATGTGCCAATACTAATACAACTGCATACCAAATATCTTCGACTTACTACTTGTGTTTCACTATAAACTAGACCTAATCACAAACTAATACATTGTTGACGCCGCTGTCGTCACCAACGCCAGAAACAGCATACCTATGCCTCGCTTTTTTACTCCGTCAAGCGAGACAAAAACAGCATATATTTTTTGTAAAACATACATCAAATATTGGATTACCAATCAGGCAAAAAATGATAACATCAATTTAATCTCCAATGATTTACCAAACTTACATATATATATATATATATCGTGTGAACAACTGGAGTGGAATATAATAGTTGTTGTTTATCATATTTAATGTTTTTTACGTAAATTGAATTGTATTACATCTGTAATTTCAGGACCTTTTATAGCTTGCTAGATGCAGTATCAGTTTTGCTCATTGTTGAAAGCTGTTCATACAGTGATCTATAGTTGCTAACATTCAGTCATTTGGACTCTGGTGGATAGTTGTCTCATTGGCAATAATACTACATATTCTCGTTTTTATCAACATAAATTACCATAATAATGAAAACTAACTCTATTCATGCATGTGTACTACACATTACCTGTATATATAATATATACTAGAATACTCCGGGACATCATGGTGTTGTGACTGAAGCAAAGTACCTTAGCCTTATTTTTAGCCTGAATTTTAAGATTTTTCGTTTTGTCATCTAATAATGTCATGCTGGTCATTAGGTGCACAGTTTTCTCTGCTTTCAAAATCTTTCTTTTTGAACCCTTCGACCCAGAACTTGTTAATTATCTGTAGTAATAATTATGTGGAAAACAAATGGGCCTAGAATGGTGTAATTTTTAATCAACACCATTGTCCTATATATATAAGTTATAAATAAAGTTGAATTCTTTGAATCGTCATTTTTATGTCGTGCCGGCTCACAAATTGGACCTTGTTATTTTAGTATTATAGATCTAGATTACTAAGTGCTTGTAGAAACACAATTCCTCATTTTTCAAGCCCCTTTCTTACATGTCTTAACCTCATTTAAATTACAATACCAACTAAAAGCTCCATGGAGCCTGTGTCGCTCACCTGATATTTTTTTTATTTTACAATTGATGCATGAAATAATGCAACCGATATACTTTTGCTTTAGTTTCAAAGATATAAGTCAAAAACTGCATTTTTCCCCCTATGTTCTATTTTTAAACTAGATACCCTAATGCTTATTATGGCCAAGTTTGGTTAAATTTGTCTCAGTTGTTTCAGGAAAAGACTTTTGTAAAAGATTACAAAAATTTACGAAAAAATTGTTAATTTGACTTTAAAGTGCAATAACTCCTTATGGGGTCAATTGACCATTTTGATCCTGTTGACTTATTTGTGAATCGTATTTTGCTGAACATTATTGCTGTTAACAGTTTATCTCTATTATAATGTTCAAGATAATAACCAATAAATTGCTTTGCCGAGCGCAGCTGGATATGACCACAGAGGTCCAACCCTGAACAGTTGGGGCAAATATGGACACAATATTCGCTCTTGATACAGGTCTGAATTTGGATTGCAATTCAATATTTGACACATAATAGGTTTCTGACACAGAATAACTGTAGTCAAAGAACTTAGAATTGGTTATATGACTTGAATTTATATTCAAAATTTTGCTTTTGTGTAATACACTATGCTGTTGCGAATTGACCTCCATCCCCTTTTTAAAAAAAAAAAAAAATTTGAAGGATTTTCTTTTTGATTTTGATTTCTGAAATCTTGAGGAGAAAAAATTGTCCCCCCCCTTTTTCCAAAAAAAAAAAATCTTTCCCTCAGTTATGGTCATAATTTCAATTCAAATTTCCAAGATGTATTTGAATTACCTCCCTTACACTGTAATTTGTACTTAAGTAATTGTCCATTAACCAGGACACCCTTGTTTTTTCTCACTTTTTTGCCCCCAATTCCTAAATGGTTTGAGCCATAACCCCCCAAAGCCAATCCTAACCATCCCTTTGTGGTATGGAAACTTGTAGTATAATTTCAGAGAGATCCATACACTGTTCCACAAGTTATTGTCATGAAACTAGAAAAATGTTTATTTGGGCCCCTAATTCCTAAACTGTTGGGACCATAACCCCCAAAATCAATCCCAACCTTCCTTTTGTGGTTATAAACCTTATGTTTAAATTTCATAGATTTCTATTTACTAATACTAAAGTTATTGTCCGGAAACCAAGTGTCTTTGGGCGACGACGACGACAACGTGATACCAATAATTTTTTGTGGTCGTATAAAAATTGAAAAAAAAATTCTTAAAATTACCAATTCAGGGGCAGCAACCCAACAACGGGTTGTCTGATGCGTCTGAAAATTCATCAGAGATAGATATTCACCTGATGAACATTTTTACCCCATGTCAGATTTGCTCTAAATGCTTTGGTTTCAAAGATAGAAGCCAAAAACTGCATTTTACCCCCATGTTCTATTTTTAGCAATATTGGCCATCTTGGTTGATGGCCAGGGTCAACGGATACATTTTTTAAACTAGATACACTAAGGATGATTTAGGCCAAGTTTGGTTTTATTTGGCGCAATAGTTTCAGAGAAGATTTTTGTAAAAGTTAACGGACGAAGACGGACGCCAAGTGATGAGAAAATGATGCAATTAACAGCAAAAGTAGGCGAGACACTGGGTTCTGCGGAACCCTTACACTTTTTTTGAAATTGCCTTGGAATTCAGTATTTTTGTTATACCATTTGGAAATTAAATACTGTAACAAATACATACCAGTTACATTTATTTATACTGTAGCTATAGGATCTCCTCAATATCTAATCCTGTTGTTAATTTCATTTAAACATATAATGTATATAGCTTCCCTTCCACTTACATCTGAGGAGCTAATTCTGAAAATTAAAATTCCTGTGATTATCATATAAAATCTTAACCTGATGCAGTCTGCTTTCCAATAAGAATAAATTAGGAATACAGTTATCCCTTGGCAAAGAGAGAGAAAACAAGTGATATTTTTATATTATAACCAATACTGCACATGGTACTGTGGATTCATTTTTATTCGTGGTATACTAATTTTCATGGGTTTCGTGGGTCACAGTGAACCACGAATTTAAGAATTCAACGAAGAATAATCCCGAAAAATGTGTTTGGAGTCGGATGTTTATTTCCAGTTATGTTATGCAGTAATCGTATAGTGTTGACTAGCGATAAACTTTGCAACATAACACGTGTTTCTATTGAAAGAAGATAAAAGTATTTTGATTAAATCAATAATAAAAAAAATCGAATATTAGTGATAAACTACTTTTTAAAATTGATTAAAACTGTTCATGGAAAATAACTGTAAGTTGTTAATTACCGTGTCATAGTTTATAAATTGTAAAACAAACATATAATTAGTTGTCTCTGTCCACGATTTTAATCGAAGTTTTCAATGAACACTTTAACCTAGAATGACCAAGCGATGATTTTGATAATTTAAACTTTTTCAATGAATTCCTTCTTTTTTGTTTTATTATTGATCAAACCAAGGAGGTTATATGACATCATAAATCAAACGGAAATTCACGAATTACGTATCTGAATTTATCTTTTTTTTTCAATCAGCGATCCACGAATTTACGTTTACCACGAAACGTCTTTTTTTCTCTATCCACGAAAATTGATACCCACGAAAATAAATGAATCCACAGTAATTGGAACATCACTAGCTTTCTGGATTGGATTGTTGCTCACTTTGTCAGGATCTTTTACAGCTGACTATATACTGTAGAAACATTAATTTTCGTGGGGTTAAAATTTCGTGGTTTTGTCTCTTTACAAGATTTTATGGGGATTTAATTTCGTGGTTTCCAGTAAATGGAAGTGATATTATATGTAGGTTAAATTTTCGTGGGGGTTTTAATTTCGTGGATATATTCTTTCCACGAAATAAACGAAATTAAATCCTCCACGAAAATTTCTGCTTTTACAGTAGTATGGTTTTGTTCATTGTTGAAAGTCATACAGTGACCTAAATTTTTTTACATCCTCTTTGACTAATGGAATGTTTTCTCATTGACAATCCTACCATACATTGTAAGACCTTATTTATAAAATACTAAAAATTTCAATCTGTGACAATAACATTTTATTAATTAAATAAGGTAATCTGATCAACATTATGAAGCAATTTTCAAAACACTCTGTCATTGTTTGACAGCGATCAAAGTAATTTTAACTTCTATGACAATGTACAATGATGTATATATGTGCAAGGCTCAAAACTAAGTATTACAACTAAATTCATACATATATCCATATACATTTACAAGGTACTTAAAAAATCAGCGAGACTGATGCATAAAATGTAGGTAAAAAAAAAAATACTTTTGTTGGATCCTGCATCATAATTATTACAAGTTAATGAAGGCAAGTCATAATCATTGAGTACATGTACATTATATTTGAACTTAAAGTAAAGGATAATCTGATTAGTCTCTAATCAGTAATGAAGCCACACAACACTATGTGATAACAGTGACATATAAGTCTCCCATAGATGCACATACTATTATTTTAGGTCTTTTGTATATATATGTTTAAGGTTACTTAGAATTGGCTGTTGACATACATGTACACATGGACTGTCAGGCATGGAGTCATTGGACCCTAGGTTACTCCAGTCCATTATCAGTCACTATCAATAGTCAACTCCTCTGTCCATTTGTTGCAAAGAACCCCAAGAATTCAATTTTTTGCTAAAATCAAACTAAGTTTAATTTTGGACCCTTTGGACCTTAATGTAGACCAATTTAAAAAACGGGACTTAAAATTAAAAATCTAAATACACGGTTAGATTTGGAATATCAAAGAACCCCAATAATTCAATTTTTGATGAAATCAAACAAAGTTTAATTTTGGACCCTTTTGACCTCAATATGAAGCAATTTGATAGCGGGGCCCACAAATAAAAAATCTAAATTCATGGTTAGATTCAGCATATCAAAGAACCCCATATATTCAATTTTTGTTGAAATCAAAAAAAGTTTAATTTTGGACCCCAACTTGGACCAACTAGAAAACTGGGCCCATAATCAAAAATCTAAACACATGTTTAGATTCAGCATATCAAAGAACCCCAAGAATTCAATTTTTGTTAAAATCAAACTAAGTTTAATTTTGGACCCTTTGGACCTCAATGAAGACCAATTTAAAAAACGGGACCCAAATTAAAAATACGGTTAGATTTGGCATATCAAAGAACCCCAATAATTCAATTTTCGATGAAATCAAACAAAGTTTAATTTTGGACCCTTTTGACCTCAATATGAACCAATTTGATAGCGGGGCCTACAAATAAAAAATCTAAATACATGGTTAGATTCAGCATATCAAAGAACCTCATATATTCAATTTTTGTTGAAATCAAACAAAGTTTAATTTTGGACCCCAATTTGGACCAACTTGAAAACTGGGCCCATAATCAAAAATCTAAATACATGTTTAGATTCAGCATATCAAAGAACCCCATATATTCAATTTTTGTTGAAATCAAACAAAGTTTAAATACTGGACCCTATCTTGGACCAACTTGAAAACTGGGCCCATAATCAAAAATCTAAACACATGTTTAGATTCAGCAAATCAAAGAACCCCAAGAATTCAATTTTTGTCAAAATCAAACTAAGTTTAATTTTGGACCCTTTGGACCTCAATGTAGACCAATTTAAAAAACAGGACCCAAAATTAAAAACCTAAATACACGGTTAGATTTGGAGGAATATCAAAGAACGCCAATAATTCAATTTTAGATGAAATCAAACAAAGTTTAATTTTGGACCCTTTTGACCTCAATATGAACCAATTAGATAACGGGGTCCACAAATAAAAAATCTAAATACATGGTTAGATTCAGCATATCAAAGAACCCCAAATATTCAATTTTTGTTGAAATCAAACAAAGTTTAATTTTGGACCCCAATTTGGACCAACTTGAAAACTGGGCCAAAAATCAAAAATCTAAATACATGTTTAGATTCAGCATATCAAAGAACCTCATATATTCAATTTTTGCTAAAATCAAACAAAGTTTAATTTTGGACCCTTTGGACATTAATGTAGACCAATTTGAAAACTGGACCCAAAATTAAAAATCTAAATACACTGTTAGATTCGGCATAACAAATAAATAAATGTGATCAAAGATTTTACAAATCTAATGCGCCATACTGTGCAATTAAAGATTACTTCTTGAAATTTTTCAATATTTGAAATTTGAAAAAAAAATAATATTTGAAGAATAATTCTTTTTAATTTCTGAAATCTGAAATGAGAAAAAATTGGCCCCCACAATTTCTTTTTATCCCCCCCCCCCCCTTTTTCCCCCAAAAAAATTCTTTCCCTCAAGATATGGTCATAATCTCAATTCAAATTTCCAATGGAGTTGGCAACCATAATTACCCATTTAAATTTACCATAGTGCTAACTTAATCTATTTTATAATAGAATTAATAAAAATATAGTGTCAAATCTTTCATATGGATTTTTTTGTAAAAAAAAAAGATGAAAACATTTGCAGATATTTTTACTGGTCTTCCTTTATAAATATGCATTTCTTTAAACATAATTTAAAAGCAGTGTAAGGGAAGTAACCAAAACGTTGTATTTGGATTACCTCCCTTACACTGTTTTAGATTATCTTTATTGTTCATTAACCATTACTTTATACATAATTTAAAAGCAGTGTAAGGGAGATAATTTCAATGATGTATTTGATTTATCTCCCTTACACTGCTTTAAATTATGTTTTGTACTAAAGTATTTGTCCATTAACCAGGACAACCTTGTTTTTCCCCCTTTTTTGCCCCTAATTCCTAAACGGTTTGAGCCATAACCCCCCAAAGCAAATCCTAACCATCCCTTTGTGGTATGGAAACTTGTAGTATAATTTCAGAGAGATCCATACACCGTTCCACAGTTATTGTCTGGAAACTAGAAAATGCTCATTTTTGGCCCCTTTTTGGCCCCTAATTCCTTAACTGTTGGTACCATAACCCCCAAAATCAATCCCAACCTTCCTTTTGTGGTATTTAACCTTATGGTCAAATTTCAAAAAGATCCATTCACTTAAACTAAAGTTAGAGTGCGAAAACCAATATGTATTCGGACGACGACGACGACGACGACGCCAACGTCATACCAATATACGACCACAAAATTTTTTTGCGGTCGTATAAAAAAACTCAGCTATTTTCTTGAAAAGTTAAATTTCTTAATCTAATATTTATAATCAATTATTATAAATATTAATCAAAGCATTGTCGATGTTGTGATCCAGCCATATTGGATTTGAATACCAAAAATGCTAACCGGTTAACGAGACCTTTTTCAATTTTAATATATTAGATATATAAACTGTGTATTGCAGTCAATATATTCAAATTTTTAAATAATCATCTTGCTACTTAATTTGACAGATCATTGTCCAGTATATTGATTGCTTTTCAATTACCTTGAAAACATTCCAATTTTAAAAAAATTAATTAGCACAAATACAACTTGTCTATCAGCTTGCGGCAAGATCTAAAGTAAACATAATTATCATACATGTATGTATTTTGAACAATTATAAGCTGATTAAATTTTACTGTTTACTTCATTATTTCATTTTATTGTATATTTATTGCACGAACGGTGATATATTTTTGTTGTCGTTCACACCGAGGGGGATTTAGGTCGAAAACATCATGCAAGACCATAACATAAACTTAATTTATG